GTCTTCGTCGTCTACCGTCCTATGTCTTCGTCGACGTTCTCGAAGGCCTATGTCCCCGGTCCTGAATTTGACCTTAAGCTTTGTCCCTGCATCCATTGGCCCATGTAGGTAATCCTTGAACCCTATTCCTTTCTTCAACATTCCGTACACTTCTAGACCCTCCTTATCCTTGGATTCTTTCCTTAGATTATTTTCTTCTCTCTCGGCGCAAGCAACAGATATCTTCTTGAATCCCTGTAGACCCTCCGTTTCCGGCGTTTCATCTTCGTCGATGTCGAGCCCCTTCCATAAGTCCTCAACGTTGACCCATTCCGTGGGTTGTCTATCCCTCTCTTTGTTTGCCCACTTCGCCTCCCATACAATCCTCGGCAACCTCTCCTCTCCCATCCCGCACATGCGGTACTGTAATGTCAGCTTCCTCGCGTCTCTTCCCGATCGTATGGATTGGATCCCCAATTCTGCCCTGACGGCTGCATTACTTGTGCGCTGGGGGGGTGCTTTTTCTCTCCCGTTGTACCGTATGTTTATGTTTGTTTGACTCCATTCCATTTTGCGGGGGATCGGCTCGTGGCGACATGGAGATTCTTTCCTGTACCTTTAAAAGAGTGACAGACAATAGGAGGGTAATGGATGAGGTGATAATATGGGCTTGCAGTGGGAATGCATCACCAAGCACAGTTAAATACTGTGTGTGCTGTCGCCGTATCCATCCTGGACTTTGGATTCATAGATTGCCATGGACCGCAGCTGCTTCCCCTAATTGAACTTATATGTCTCGACGACGCGAAGCTTTTGGGCGTGTTCGGGAGCACCTATCGCACAGACAGGAAGAACGTCTACGGCGCACTTTGGAGGAGCCTTATTTTCATTATTTTTCGCCACAAAATTTATTTCCGCGCGTGCTTGCCTTCGCGTGTTTCATCGCGAGAGGGGAAGACTCATTGATCTCCACATGTCCCTCGTCAACCGTGAACTCGAATACTGACGGCATGTTGTTATTGCCACTAAATATACTCCAATCACAAGAGAGCACCACGACACGTGTAGTCCTCCAAAAAGGCTACTACATGGAGCGTTACAAGAATCGGGCTACCAGCTGTGTCTGGGCTGCAACGACCCCTGCTAAATGATGCACTTGTGCGGTGCCCGTTCACTTCGAACGCGCCATAATCTTACCGCTCCTCTTGCATGTTTAGTTGTCTAGCAAAGGTCCAATGCCTGCGCAATAAAGAAAAAAATCACGATTCACTTGACGCACCGACAAATGAACATTCGTACCCTGCACACTTTTATGTAAAACAAGAACACACTACACATAAAACAACCCCCCCCGCCCCCGCCCCCAACGTCGAATGCCGTCTGAGTTGGGAACCTCCCCCGCCTTGTTCATTGACCGGCGGCCAGACTCACTCGTGACGAAAACTACGCTGTAAACGTATGCCACCACCATAGCAGTCAACATTAATAAATTACTGTACACTACGCGACCATGCCGCCAACCCGTCGCACTAACAGGCTTGCGGCGGAAGCTTTCGAGGTTGTTAACAAGGCTGGGCGTATAACCAGCCCCACACCACCCATATGGGCGTTCGAATAGACGGGGAGCTCTTCCCACACGAAAAAAACAAGAGACCCACCCACATCTACCATGATGACAAGACACATGAGATTGCACGTGTTCCATCCGGCGACTGCCTTCCAATCCCCAGCGGAATTTGCTCCTCCTTACCCATCGGCACACCGCAACAGTCACCTGAGCCTACAAGGTTTGTTCCTCCCCCAGAACAATGGCTAGACAAAACGTTGCTTGAGTCAGTGCGCCCCGCCCTCAAGTCTATTGTGACAAAGAAACGATGAAGGCTTGCGAGAGAGGGCTCTTCCGCGGTCACGTGTGGGGTCTACATGCGCACCAACACAAACGACGAAAGGGGAGGGCAATGCCCGTCCATGATGATGGACGAAAGTGTCGCGTGTGCGGCGTAGGGTGCCCAGCGCAGCCATTTACCGTGCCTCTCTCGGTCAACAACTACTGCTGTGCGCTGGAAACGTCACCAACAGCAGGACGCCCTCGGGCCTACAACGCTAAGTCGTCCCCCAATGTCAAACATGCTTGACTTTTCTCTCCCTGCGAAATCGACAGCCTCTTTCCATACCATATTTCTCCCCATCGACGGTAAGGACATGCAGTAGGTGAGAGCAAAGAGAAGGCAGCCTATATATTGTCGTGTTGGCCTTCCCTCTTGACTTCAGACTTCACTTTCGCCACCAACCCTCGCAACATCTACCCTTGCTTGCCCCTCAGGAAAAAATCGCGTTGAGCTGCACACTTACACACAGAAGATGCCGTCTCTTTCTCCGGGCCATTATTATTGTCTACAGGACCCTCCCGTGGGCACCCCGAACATAATCCTGTGAGCGCTGCAGCAAACGCCAACAAGCTGTCAAGAACAGCGATCGATTCGAACACACGGAGCCCCCCAAGCCCGGTATTTTTCTGCTGGCATTGATAATGTGGTCGTTGCTTGTGTTAGGGCTGGCTGCTGTTGTCGTTTTGGCCGAACCACTCCCGGAACGAAGCAGGGGCCGGGATGAAGGTTGACCGCTTCTGGTCGACCAGCTTCGATTCGGCGTCGAACAGCAGAAGGCTGTTCATCCACAGCCCCATCCGCAGGGAGATCAGGGCGTTTGCGGCCGAGAACCAGCACACCACGCCTGCGACACGCCGTCAACGTTGTAAAAAGTAGTACGGCCGCCGCGCCACCCAGTAAGAACTTTGCCGTTACACAACATGAGCCTAAAAAAAAAACAAGGCCTTGTCCGTACCAAGAACAGGTTCTCAGTCAAGAAGGCTACACAAAACCTAGATAGTCGCCGTAGGGGCACCGTACAGTACCCCATAGACCAAAACAGAATCGAGCCTCAGGCAAAGAAAGAGGTTATAAAGTGGTGGCTCGTTCTGCAGTACATATTACAGTATTGATGTAGGGATGTAGGGATGTAGGGATGTGGGGATGTAGAGATGTAGGGTGATTCGGCCCGTGACAGCGAAGGTATGGACGTAGTAGGCCGGGGCGAGCGTTCGGGGACGTGGGTTGCGAGACCAAGCACGACTTCGATTCGAACAAACGTAGTTGTCGTGCTTTATCGCCCGGTACACCGGTACACCGGTACACCGGTACACGTACAAAATTGCCCTTGGAACCGCGCCCCCCCACTCGGTGACATGGTTGTCTGTGTCTCCCCCCCCCCCCCCCCCCCCCCCCCCCCCCCCCCCCCCCCCCCCCCCCCCCCCC